CATTAATAATCCTACTGATTTTCTTGAATTCACAGGATAGTTAGACATTTAATTGTAACCTTTTGACTTGCTTCTTAAACTTCTCTATTTTTCATTCTTGTCACACTAAATTAGGTACTTCTTTTTATCTTAGCTATTTCATATGTAATAAAGCTCGGTTACTAAAGGATTTTGAAATGTTATGGTTAGTGGCAACTGAATGAAACCCAAAAACAATTAAAATAAATTTGTCTCTTTCTATTAATAAAATCTTTGTTCCGATTGCTTTTAAGTTGGGCATTCAACTGTCAATTTCTATTTGGAGTCAAATTGCTTTGGTTCTATTACCAATGAAGCTTTCAATTTGGAGCACAGTTATGTAATTGCAAACATTTTTACGTTTATATTGTTGATAAAGACCTACTAAAAAACTGATATCGTTTATCATATCCGTCACATATCGATTGACATTCTCACTGGTATAACTCAACCTAGTCCCTGATTCAAATCTTACCGTTGGACTCCACTTACTTTCGATGTCTCTGACGTCGTTAATAACCAAGTCAACAAGTTCAATATTGTTTCGTCGTAAGTGATCAGTCACAAGCTAGATTTAAACAGTCAGGTGTTTAATATTTACTGATTTTCAGTAGTTCTCTAGCATTTAATATTTCATTATAAATTTTAACCTTGAATGATAGTTATCAGTATCATGATAAATAATCAACTGTTATTACTTTCATAACTGTAATCGAATGATTAAAAAAATTATTTTATCATACTGTCGATCTGATACAAAGTTTTTACTATCTTGGAACATGGCATATTCCCATTGCTCAAAACATAAAATTGAATAATTCTGTATCAACCACCATATTTTAATTTTATTATCATAAGTAATAACAGGAGTGATTATATAATATGTTAAGTAGGTTAAACATGAACGATTCAAAACGACAAATTGATTACCCTCATTAAATGGATTTATCCAGAAAAAAAGTAGTAGAATATTAGTTGATTGTTATGTTACGAGATTAGAATATAAGTTTATGATATGGATTTACTACTTTAATCAACCCCTCCCCCATATCTGTTTTTGAAAGCAGAACCAAATAAACCTAAGTTAACTATAGTCATTTAAAGACTTAGTCATAGTTTACCTTGTATTTTCTATTAACTATATAAACAGACTCACTTTACCATATCAAGCAAATATTTTCATTAATATAAGTAGTTTGTGGGGACTTGAATTTTATAGTATACATCACGAACCGGATTTAGGTAGGTACCCAATATATGCTCACTAGCAGCTAGTTTCTGGAGGTCATTCCTGGAATTCTAGAGCTAAGCCATACCCAGTGGAGTTCAACCAAGTCAGATGTGAGCCCGACTTGATTGAACTCAAGTAGTTACACAATAACGACACTGAAAGTTGGTTGCGAATTATAGCGAATCAATTAGAGTTTTTAAAAAAGTAAATTACTTTATGCCAACTTATTAGTCCAAACGTTAAAGGCCCACCTTAAGACCGAAGTTTATGGGTTAGATACCAGATATAGTCATGGATGTGCATAGCTAAGGTCTTCCATATTAAGACGACAGTTTCCCGACGCTTTATGGTTTTCAATGGCTGTCTAATTAGTCAGGGTTAGTTCGTGATGCAAACATTAAAAAATAAGCATTTTCACTAAGAAATAAGTAGACTAGACGAATTATTTTTTGTAATAAGGTATTTAATTTCAGCTCTGTGAAAAGGATGAATAACAACTGGAAAGAGCTGGAAAGGATTGCCAAGGACAGGTTGAATAGAGAATGCTAGTGAGCTGCCTATGCTTCTTCACGAGGAGTAACAGGCGTAAGTAAAATATGTAAGTGTACAACAATCTATGTTTTACAGTCAATAACCACACAGTGATACCACCAGATGGTGATGAGTTAGTTAGTTAAAATTAGAAAAATAATGATATCAAAACATTAGGATTCTGTTTACTCATGGTCATTAATATAACAATTTCTCTTATTAGCCAATTTCACTCTTTTTTTTAGAAACGGTACATTCGTTATCATGGTGTGTTCTCCACACAAACTAGCATCAAGCCAATGTTGCAAATCCTGTTGTTAATAAATTTCCTTACATTACAGAACTCGTTACTGTTATTATTCAACTAAGTAGTGTAGCAATTCAAATAATTGTAATCATTGTCAAGTATCTGTGAATAATAGATAAAATATCTTTAATTTATATATATTAATTACAATTAACCGATAAAATGAACGGCATTTATAAAATAATTTCTTTAAACGTCTTCTCTTTTTGTATATTGTTTGTCGATGGATATTTTTTTGAAAAGTGGAATGTCATTTGATACACTAGTGCATAGATTTATTGTCCATTTGTTCTACTTCCTGGTAAGTAATGTACACCTTACGTCAATATTTGGTTTTTCTGGAAATCAAACAGGTTAGTGAAATCATTTTTCGAGTTCTATTCAGGGGACATAACGGGGGGGGGGTTAGTAGCAAACAAAAAAGTTTTTTAACAGAATAGTAATTATACATGAGAATTAACTTTTCTCAACAGCCTTGTATTTTGGAAAGCTGCACATTCGTAGATCTATGACATTAATTTATATTATTATCAGAAGGGATTTTGTGGAGATTGTAGTAATTTCAACAGTTGAGATCATGAGTCAATTGAAGCTAGACCACCATGAAAAACCTGGAAGCACTGGACAACCGTTTTGTTCTAATGTGGGACCCCTCAGCAGTGCGCATTCAAGACCCCGCCTCGCGGGACTCGAACCCAGGACCTATCAGCTTCGCGCGCGAGCACTTGACCATTAGACCACTGAGCTGGCCGGCATCCAACGATGTTAATGTTTAACTTCAACTAATCCACGAAATTTAGTGATACATCCACCATTGTTATCAGTGAGTTACTATCTCACAGCAGACGTGGTTGAACTCCACTGATCACTGCTTCTCACTAGAACTCCAGAATATACCTCTTGAAGCTAGTCACTAGTGAGCATATGTTGATTAGTCGCAGAAGGGTTTTTGTGGATATTATAGTAATTTCAACAGTTGAAATCATGAATCAATCGAAGCTAGATCACTACGTAATTTATATTATGTTTTCTACAACAAGTAAAGAAAGTAGACAATGATCATATTGATTTAAATATTTGTTCTTTAAAAGTAAAAGGTTATACCTTTAATACAATGTAACTCAATGTATCACCTCCTTGAAGACTTCTTTTGTGAAGATGGTAAAATTTAAGAAGCAGTTTTAAATATGTCCAGAATTACAAAATACTGATTATTAAAAGAATAAAATTGTAGTGTAGTTATTACAGTCGATTCAAGTCTACCTTTTACAAATATCTACAAAAATAAAAGCTGAAGTTTGGAAATTCTTTATGACTTATAAAATCAACATTCGCACAAAACACACAACCTATTAACTATTTGCTTATGCAGCTTCTTATTAATAAGGTTTATTTTAGATATCACTTGTTCAAAACTACAGGTTGTGATTGATAAATTTTTTGACTGAACGCTTGGATCGGTTTTTTAAGCTCTTCTAATAACGCCCAGGCTGATTACACGACAACTTATGCATGAGAGGAAAGGCGCGTAGTATGGTTAGTTTATGTGCAGAAAATTGAGGGTATTTGTAACATTTCAGGCAACCTTGGGCTTACGGAAACTTCTGTAACCCTACCAAACATAGTAGCAGGACGGGTAGTCACTCAATCAGAAATACGACACGTGACTTTTCACTTCCTAGATGTTTCTGAGAAACTTATATTTAATGCTGATTGTATAAAATGTTCCTCAGCGTTTTCAGGGCCTATTAGAGCTTTTTCCAAGAAATTTTCTAGGTCTCCCCAACAATGATCTCATATGCAAAAATGTAGATTATAAAATCTTAAAATTGAGCTTAAGATTTAAAAATAACACGACTGTTCGAAAAATAAGAACGTAACAATATACAAACAATTTTTAGTTTATTTATTCAGATTACAATATCCTGAAGAGACTAAATCGTCCTTTTATAAACAAGTAGATTCAAGTCTAAATGAATATTTGTAACATATTAGTGTGGTGTGGGTTACTTATATCCACACAAGTAGTATATGACGGTGGTCAGGCATAGAATGTATTTTAGTAGAAGGTCGATGAGAAAAGAACGGGAACGGAACGCAATTGGTATGAAAACGCATGAACAATGAAATCTGAGACAATGGTTTGATGTTTGCAACAGGAACAGTCAAGTTTGATATGATGGATTGATATTTTGCAAATTAGCTATTTACTAAATGATTCTCAAATTTTATTGAGATGCTCTGTAATTTTGTGCTCAGATACATTCGATTGTCCCCACTGGTGTTCTTGTTCACTACACTAGTAGTGAGACCTATTTCAATAAATGAAAGCTATCACAACTTTTTCTTTCCAATGAATAATTCACTTCATTAGCCAACTGAATAAGAATCAACCTAACGAATCTTTAAATATTAGTAGTATTAAAACTATTGTAAATTTGCAATTCGAAAGTCATTCCATTATTTGGTTAACTTCAATTATGAAATATTATGAAAGTTATTGATAAAATTTCATATTACAACTGTAAACTGGTATATTTTGTTTATGCTTCAATCAGTCAGTGGAAACTTTGTCTACTAGTAGTTAAGGAAATATTATATCATAATAACAGATTACTTCATTATTAATCATAATTATAATTCATTATATAAAGAAATAATTCAATGATAAAATTAGAAGAAATAATTACAAAAAATGAAAACAATCATTCATATTAATATTGATCTTTTTCAATTGAAGGAATGAAGTGAAATGACTTGTTTAAACTAATCATTATATAATTGAAATGTATTAATTATCAATATGGATCATATTATGTTATTTGTGAATTACTTCAATTATTATTAGCAATATTACTAATATTTATCAAATTCGATATTTATAATTACCAATCGTATAACAAGTAGTTGATATTCATTATTCAATATGAATCATAATAATGATCATTTAAATGATGATGATAATAATATGAATAAGATTTTAGATCAAAATCTGAATTTAAAATTGATTCCTTTGAATCAGTTGAAATATGAATTGAATCATTAGTTTCCAAAGGAGTAATAAAATTTATTTCTTCATTATTAAGTAACTGTAATTTTGTTTTATTAAACCAATTTTCATGATTAACTGATTCATTTAATGGATTACTATCAATAGTTTCATTATAATTCGTAGGTAAATAAGGAATTGTTAAATTATATTCATTCATTTCATTATGTTCACAATCATATACATTTTCAAAATCATATAATTTATTATTTAATAAATAATTTTGAGATTTTAATAATTCTGTACAATTCGATGAACAATTTCCCATAGATTGACTACAATTTGAAATTGATGTAGACGGATTAGTTGGTATGGTCAATGAAACATTAGTTGAATAATAATAATAATAATCTAAATGGTTCACTAATTGTTTATCGCTTAGTTTATTTTGTAATAAATTTGACCTTATAACATTTTGTTGAATATTTTCCGTATAATTAACATCATCATCAATTGGTGATGAAGTGGATGATGATTTATAAGAATTATCATATAATAACTTATTTTCATTATTATCAGACACTTGATGCTTCATTAATCTAGAAGGATCATTTTGTAAAGCAGCTGCAATCTGATTGGTTGTTATCTGTGATAAACCATGACATAAATATTTTATAATATCTGTTATTGATTCAAAGTGTATATCATTTAATATTGAAGCTAATAGACCAATGTAATTACAAGCTAAACGAAGCGTTTCAATTTTACTTAATTTTTGACCAAATTGATGAAAATCATTAACATTATTATTGTTGTTGTTTATTTGATTTATTGAGTTGTTGGTTTGATGATTTTTTGTGAATAATTTATTACTTTCATTTTGTTTTTGATTAGTATGAGTAGTACACTCAGTTGTGTCATCTTTTTTATCAAGATCAAAGGAAATATATCCACCGATTAAAGCAGATGGTATGTGTTGTCTTAAGGCATCTAATGCTGAATTTAATCCATGCATTCGGCTACGTTCACGTGCATTAGCTCTAGCTCGTCTCATTTTCATTCTGACAACACGTTCTTGTGAGTCTGGCTTCTTTTTAGGACCACGACGTCTTATACCAGTTGGAACAACTAATGAGGGTTCAATAAAACATTGTGAACTAACATTATCAGATATAGCGCATTTCTGATGTTTTTTCGTTACATCAGCACGTTGAACATTCTTAGTTGAAATAAATGAATGATCCTGTTGCTTCAATTCATCATGCATAAAATTTACTGAGTTTGAATGAAATGAATCTGTATGAATTTCATGGTTATTTTGAAAAATAGTTATTGGGTTTAAATTATCATTTGTAACATTGAATGAGGAGTCTTTTGAATGTTCAGTAAACATAACTGTTTGGTCAAAACTAGACCAGTTATGTGAGTTCATCATTTTTTTAATGTTGTGATCTTGAAAAGAATAAAATAAAAAAAACTCTGTAATATTAAAAATAACTGCTTAAGAGGAATAAGAATAATGCATTTAGTTTTACAAGGTCATAATAAATTGCATGTAGCGTGCCCGCTTGATATGAAATCTAAAGTTGCTGGGTTCGGTCTGGTAGACCCATGTTCTCTGGTTCTCAATGACCTTCTATTTCAAGTTTATTTAAGGTATAAACTACTTTCAAAATAAAATAAACTTTAAATTTACTTGTTAATTTGGCCTTGCTGCCCAGGGCAGAGTTCCACAGAGAATTCTGGTGGGAGGCTTATGTTCCTTCCCGAGGGGCAACAGGCTTAGGTAATCAAGTAAGTAAGTAATTCGGCCTTGTACTATTGTAAGTTGTAGGAAGCTTATATCATATCGTTCTGATTAGATTTGTGTTCTTACATTTCCAAAATTAAGCTGTTAGAAAATAATACTTAGATCTGTATAAAGTGAAACAAACAAGATGGCTCAATACATTGTTGTTTAAAGTATACACATTACGATAAATTGATCAAAGAACGAATAAGATTTGGTCATTTTTGTTAGTGGAACCCAACTGTGGAATTTATCGGCAACTTCAGACAACAAGTTCACTATTATTTAAATTGCAACAGCAGCAAAATAACAACACTATATATATAAAAAAATAGTTTGATCCTAAGTCGTCGTGAGCATCATTTAACTGTAGAATTTTTTAATTGATTGGAGGTCTGTATCTTACACTTGTTGGTAGAACATGCTGACGAAAACACTCGTGGAGATAATACAGTTGTTCTCGAATGGAATCCTGTCTTTTGGCGAAATCCTCTCATTTTCAAACAACGTTAAGCGTACTACGCTCATATGATTTTGAGATGGTGGGGAAGATTTGTAGCTCAGGTGGATGATTTTGATGGAGTTTTGTTTTCTGAGATGGATGGTTTAGTCGTGGAGCTTTCATCTACCTGAAGTTTGTGCTGATGATGTCACTGGCTACCATGGGACTGCATCTTCTCACGTTGCTCTACTGCCTTGTGGATCGGACATTTAGGTCGAAGGATCAGGGCATGGCCCCCTAAGGAAACCACCTGCTTCAGTCTGGGCACCCGGGCAGTATCACAGCCGACACAAAAATCAAGTGAATTGTGCAGCATATATGTATTCGGTGCCCCATTCGCACCGATATTTATGTGTTCAAATAAATAAATAAAATAATAAGTTCCAGAAAACTTACACACACAATTATTTTTTTCATTCTGTTTAACTTCTCAATTAGTTAAATTAAAAACATATAATCTTTTGATTATGCTAATTTCTTATTTTCTAAATAACATCAATCGTATGTAATAGGCTGAAATGTTTAAATTATGATCAAGAAATACTTCTCTGTATGATAGTAAAGTAATATTTAAGAAAAGTGGATATCTAACTGTTATCAAACCTACAGATCATTCTAACTAAATGGCAATTTTAACAGTTAAACTCATAAATTGATCTAAGCTAGACCACCATTAAAAACCTGAAAGCGCTGGACGGCCATTTTATCCTAGTATGGGACTTCTCGATAGTGTGCATCCACGATCCCAAATGCGGAACTCGAACCCATGACCTCTTGTCTTTCACGTTATCACTTTAGCTGTAAACCACTGGGCCGGCATCCAACAGTGTCAATGTCTAACTTCACTAGATTTATGATCTTGCGCAACCCCTTAACCATTGACTCATAAAATTAACTGTTATAATTACTACTATTTTCACAAATCCCCATTCTGATAAATGGTAATCCCAAATATTATTTTGAATTTCATACGTTATATCTTTTAAACAATAAAATTACTGATGAAATTATTTTATTTTGAAAAATCATTCATGTGGCTGCAGAACGACAGGTATAATAATATGATTATAATTAATAAGCATATTGTTGAATTTTGACATTCAAGTTTCCGAACTATAGTGAAAAAGGTAATGCCACTCACGTAATGTCGAGTCACCTAGACTAGTGGCCACATTGCAACTTGGTCGATAGAATTTGATCTACACTAAGGAGGACCTGACATACATGACATTGATCACCGTCTAGTGATCAATCAATTGTAAATACATATCAGTCCTACAGGAGGTCAGTCGCTGCCCAGATAGATCAGTGGTAACGTCTCGGACTGTGAAGCTGAGTGACACGGGATTGAATCTATCAGGAGGCATCTGTTCCATCGGCATTACAGGTACACCATACTGACGAGTGCCAAATGGAGCGAAACCTATTTCTAGAGTTTCTTGTTGACTACCTCCAACCACCATCTTATCTAAGGTAATGCTATTTTGATTTATATCATAAAATAAATTTATTACACTTCAATTACAAAAAGCGCTTGAAATCGTAGAGAAATTTCAGTATAACAGTTACATAAATGATACTTTTAATTATCTAAGGTGAAACTTCACTCTAAAAACGTACAGTTTTCCACTCTTTAAGTTTAAAAGAAATATATGAAGGTGAAATTCAAAATAATGAATAAAACACTATCAATCTCCGCAATTATACAATAATTCATGGAAGAAAAGTTGTGAAAGTAATATTCTTATTATTTAAAATATCAAGTGAGTGCTATTTCTATGTCGGTAACTAAGAGAAATATTAGGAAACTAATAAGTAAAGTAGTTACTAATTTACAGTAAATATTGAAGAGTTTATGATGCAAAACACTTTTCTGTAATGTACAAATTATTATGAAACTATTAGGGTTCATAATTTTTTTCATACACAAGTCAACTGATAAGTGTTTTATACTGATGATTTTTTACAATAGTTGGGGGTAGACTTATTGTATATGAAATATTAATATGGCAGAAAACTTTGTTAGCATCCATTGCACATATCATATCCATTTACCGTTTGGTGATAGCATTTTGAAACCCTTTGAATACTCTTATATCAGTTACTCGTAAATATCTCAATCTTGCGTTCGCGTACATGAACGAAGGTCATGTGTTCTAATCTTTTATATGGGATCGTGGATTAGCACTTCTGAGTAGTCTCATACTATGCCGAAATGACTGTCCAGTGCTTTCAGGTTTTCAATAGTGATTTGGCCTACATTAATTCATGAATTCAACTATTAAAATTACTACAATCTCCACAAACCCCATTCTGGTCATAAAAATGTGAAATGACTAATGAATTCACTGGTATTCATTCACTCATGTTTATCAACTAATAATGACTGTTTGTTTTCCATACAACCAAGTCTTCTAATCACGTATAAATTTACTGATTAGTCATTTTGTTTTTAAGTATATATTCACTTAGATTCATTGCATCATTAAGTTGATTTTTTTCTTTGTAAATATTTCTCACTCAGTATCCTTTCATCAATCCAGTTGACTGATCACATAATTCACTCATTCATTTTACATTATGAGATATGTAATGATGTATAAAAATTAAATTTAATATCATTTGTTCACAAAGTATTAATACTTTTTATGCATCTTATAGTAAAGCGACTGATTCAGGAATAAAAAATCTCACCATCATACCGTAAGTTAATAACCGTAATTTATTATTCAATCCGCTTAAAGCCGATATTATCGATTAATAGTATAGTACAACCGAAAAGTCATGAGACTTAAGAATAAACTTCATGTATGACTGTTGGATACTTCTGAACTAAAAAAACAGTTATAAAATTCAGTAAAGGACATTACTCACAAAAAGATGCTTATATCATGAAACACATGTGGATTTTCTATAGAATTCATATAAATGAGCATAAAATGTCCATTCTATAATAAGCATTTAAAAACTTTTCTCCAAAATGCTGTTTTATTTCTATCATAAAACGAAATAATATAAATCGTATTTAACTTGAGATTATCAGTACTTGAAAGAAGCATTCGAAGGTAACTGTTTTTTTTTGTTTGTTTATACACTTCTTTTTAAATTCATCCGACGACTAGTTGATTCACTTTGGTTAACCTCGTTAGTTAACTATTTGATAATTTTAAGAAAAGTGATAAGTTAATCATCACAATCTCGCGAGGCGGGGTCGTGGATGCGCGCCACTGAGGAGTCCCATAATGGGACGAAATGGTTGTTCAGTGCTTCCAGGTTTCCCATGGTGGTCTAGCTTTGATTGACTCATGATATCAATTATTAAAATTACTATAATATCCACAACAAACCCTTTTGATACTTATTTTTTAGTTGAATATTAAATCTTTTAAAGAATTTGCAAAATTTTTTAAAAATAATAATGGAGAAAATTTGCAATTCATGCGTGTACTTTTATTAAACTTCCGCTTATTGAACTAGGTGATCAAATTGAAAAAACTTCAATATGTTTGTCATGGAAGAAATCATCAAATCCTAGTTCCCCATGAATTTGACATTTTTGGTATCCAGAAAGTCAGCTAACGTTTTTTTATGGAGTTTTGTTCTCTGAGCTGGATGGTTTATGCTGATGATGTCGTTCAGAAGAATAATGAAAGCTTCACGACCGATCCATCCAGTTCAGAGAACAAAACTACATCAAAATCATCCACTTGAGCTACAAATCTTCTCCACCATCTCAAAATCATACGAACGTTATTTTACTATTTCTAGTTGATTCTGAAGTATATTATCGCTTAATGAAGCGCATCCAATTACTGAGTAACCTTTATGAGATAATAGAGGTAACAGAATAAGACATTTTTATGACTATTCAAGATAATATAATAGCAGAAATATTATTTTTAACCGTCAATCATTATAAAATACAGTAAAATTGCTTTTAAGTATCCACTTATTTTCAACGATTAGCTTGTGATGAAGCTATATAAACATATTTCATTAATACATAGCATGGAGAATTAGAAGTGTAACCTACTTTCTATTAACTTTTGATTTTAGTGATAAATACCTGGGAGTTAATTACTGAATCATAGCCAGATCTTGATTACATTTCAATCGTTAAATACTTTGTGAAACATGTGATGTATATTTGATCATTGAGTAATTGATATTGGTGTCTTTGGGTGATATCAAGTTTTTTTTATAAAAATCATTTTCAAATCCATGAACTCATCATAAACTGAAATCAACTGGAGAAGAATTAAAAATCAGAAAGTATTAGTTAGCTGTTTCTTCCTAATTTCTGACTTAACAGCGATGAAGGGAACAAAGATTGGGCTTAAAATCTTTAACTCTTGTAGTCATGTAAGTTATTTTTAGAGGTGGAACTGGAGTGTTCAAATTTCAAGCTTCAATGAACTCATGATATAGTGTAATACTCACTAAAACTCATTTCACTCTCAACATGTTTGATTTTCAAAAAAACCCTTACGAGTTTTTTGTAAGCTAATTTCTAATT